ACCTCTGTCCTCTATGACGCCATCCCTTTGTTTCCTCCTGTGATTGGCTGGCCCCTGCACCCCCAACCCCGTGCCAGCCGGGCGTCTGCCCAGGGATGGTTAAGCCGGGTCCCTCTGGAGCACGGGCAGTAGCAATACATTCCATTCAGGGTAAATCACTGGGCGTGGATGGAGTGTAGACGGTGTGTGGAGAGGCAGACCCCGGGTCACAGGGGATGAACGTGCGCCATTAACTCGTCTTCAGTTATTTTTTGATCCCTTTTATCATTTCCAAATTAGCAGGATGTCGCCCATCCGTAATGTTCTAGAGGACTCTTAAAAATATATATATAAATAAACTGTAAGAAAATGCCACATTCCTCGTATGCAGAATCTGGTTATGGCGGACAAAGCTTTGCAGAGAGTGTCGTGTTTTCAGAAAGACCGCGAAAAAGCCCATGAGCGAGGCTTTAAGTGCGTTTAACAACCTCCAGACTCACTCACTGATCATCTGGCCCATGTCTACATGGTTTAAATTGGCAGACAATCTTGTTAGTGCACATGATTTTTTTTTCTTGAAAACAAAATTTAAGCAAAAAGAAAAAAAAAAAGTTGTTCTCTCTACTTGCTGTTAGTCCACCAGATTGTGATCCAAGATTTTCTGCTTTTATAGACACAACATGAAATATTTATCTGATAATTTAATGAGTAGTATTATACGCCATTACACATTTCTTAGGCCATTTCCCTTATTTATCTAATGGTAAAGTGTGGCGTCCTCATTCTCCTCTAGACACACATGCTCCGCGTTAGTCTCTCCGTCACTCTGCTTCACTCAGCGAGACGCAGAAGTTTCCGGCCTTCCTTTCCGTCGGCATCCTCAGAGGCCTCCACAGCACCTGAGACCTTCACAGTCAGGGTCATTCACACTCAGCCCCCCCCCCCCCAAGGCCAGGGTGATGAGGTCACGGAAGTCAGGGTGCTGGCACTCAGTAGCAGCGTATTCCTGCTTCCATGCATTCTGGTAGCCTTTCACGAACAGCTGTGTGCCTTTCTCTCCATCTGTCCATCCCTGATTCCTGTTAGCCCTCCCCGAACTGCATGCCTTCAACCCC